AATACCACATGTGTATCTTCTTAAATTCTTCCCAAGCCACTTCTGTAGACTTAGGATACTGATACACTTAGTGCTCAACAGCTGCATTATGCAAGTATATAATTAGAGCCTACTCAAGTCAGGTGATAAATACAGGACAGACAAATTCACTGAAGCTTTATCCTGTGCCTCCCTCAAAGGTTTAACTTGTATTATGATACCTCTGCTTTGTAGTTCTGATGTGTCTAGAATTAGTCTTTATAACTGGAATGCCTAACCTAAAAAATAATCTATAAAATATGTATTTCCTACAGGTACTAGATGAAGAAGCTGAAGTTTTCATAGTCAAAATGTGGAGGTTGTTGATATACGAGACAGAAGCAAAGAAGATTGGTCTAGTGAAATAAAGTACTCTCCTTGCTTCTAGGGTTCCATTTCAATTTTGGGCTTTTTTTCCCCCCCATCATTCAAAGACTTTGAATTTTCTCTGTTCTCAGAGACTTGAGACCTGTATTTTTTTATGTAGAAAATGTGAATTTTTTTGTCCTCTGCTCTGAGGCACCCTTTACCCTTCTCAGTTAGTTATCTGAATCCTGCATTGGTTCTCTTTATAATTCACAAGGTACAATTACCGGTATGTTTTATAAGCTGCAGCTACTGTACACGCTCTCTGGTAGTTTTGTTTTGTTACTCTGATTCTTGTAAATATTAAGAAAAAAAAAAAAGCCCCTGTTTTGCAAAACATTTGCACTTAATGTGGAACTATATCAGTTACAGATGAAGACATTATTTTACTGCCAATTTATCAGTGCTTTTTGGGTTTTTTTTGCATACTCTCCCTCCTTTTTATTTAAGGAATGATCAGAATACAGTTTTAAAAGTGGCTTGAGCTGCTTTCACAGAACAGCTTTGTGGTCATTTGGTCCCTCCATCTGACTCTGGAAAAGGAGATCCCTCAGACTTTTTATTCTGTAATCTTGGTACTTTGTTGCCCATTTAGAATTACTAATGAAGCTGGGAACTTATCTCTTGCAGTTGCTCTGCTTCTTTCCTAGAAAGTGCAAATTGCAGGAATTTTTTTATTCTTTGCTCAGTTAAAACAAGAGCAGGACCTCAATTCAGTAAGTGCTATTTAATGATTTTTTTTTTAAACCTGGGATATCTTCTGCTCAATTTCATTTTAGCCCTTCCCTGTTATTCCTTCTGTCTCCAAAATGATCAGATGGATTTTTTAAAAATATTTTTTTTTAAAAAACGTTTTTTTAGTATTTAGACAAAAAATACCTGTTTGGATGTAACTGACCATAGCAGTTGACAAAAACTGAAGCATAAGTTTTCAAACAAATCCAAAGTCTTGTTTTTATCCATATTGTTAAACTAGCCCCAACTTTTGTTTTCTACTGTAAGCAGTTTATTGTCCACAAAAAGAAGGTGATATTTTCCTGCTTTGTTTGTATGGGGTTTTATAAATAGGCTGATATGGTATAAATGATGAGATGTACTGTAAACTGCATTTTTTATCTCATACCTGGGTAAGACGACAAATCGATAATATGCGATGAGCTGTTTTGATTGCAGGAGGACTGTGTTCCAGGGAGCAAACTGTCTCAAAAACATTTTTAATTTTTAAACACAATTCTTAATAGCAAACAAATTAAGTAAAGGTGTTCCAGTATCTCTATATTGTATTTAACTGAAGGATACAGGTTGACCTGTTCAGAAAACTTAACTGTGACCTTGAGTTACTAGTTCTTTGTATCTGGAGAGGACACTTGAAAACACTGTTCTTAACAAATGGGATCGTGTAAAGGTTCCACCATGTAAATATTTCAGATATTAAAAATGTATATATTTGATTTAAGGGCTGACATTTTTTTGGAGTCTTGTGCAGCATGACACTTATATTTAACACTGCTTTATGAATCAACAAGTGTTCCCAAATTAGGGGTGGGGTTTTTAAAACTACCTCCTGCTTTGTCAGGTTACTAGAAGCCTGCAAATGCGGATGTGATCCCAGTATGTTCTTTCTCATCCCTGTGATACTACACACCACAAAATGTTCTTCTTTAACTTGAAGTGTAATAGTCAGATGTTACTTTTATGTTGTGATTGAGCTTGCATGAGAATGTTTTGTTTTACATACTTATATGCTGCAACCTTCCTCTTTTTTTTCCTGCAACATGTTACCCTAAGAAACTACTTCCCCATTCTCCCCATAAAATTTTCAGCATATACCAAAAATTCTCCAGATTCTAAATAAATTTAAAAACTTGTTCTGTTTGCAGTAAATGCAGAGAAGAGGGAGAGTGAACTTCGAATGTTTTGTCCTGCTAATATGGCATTTTCTCTCTTTCACTAGTAGTAGTTAAACAAGCCAAATGCGTTGTAACGCTGCTGACAGATTGCCTAACGTTCTTGTTGAGATTCTTCAGTGAAAGCTCAAGTTGTGAAACTTCAGCTTATTTTCTTCTGCCCTAAATTAAAGCTGTATGTTCATCTATTATATTATTTATGCATTGGAAATAAGCTTGTACTCCTTTCCTAAGGAGACTGAAGGTGTCTGGGTAATGAAAACAACTAAAATTTAAGATGGAGTGTTAATTATCCAGATAAATAAGTATTTAGAAGCAGCTGTGACATATTAAAAAAATCAATTTGGAAGTTGAGGTTTTCTTCAGTAGTGGAAGGGGGGAAGGAACGTTCACTATAGAATCTCTGAATTGGCTTATGCAAGTACTTCAACTTTTCCTCTTTCAGAATGCAAAATGTTTCTTTATAAAGTCACTTCTAGTATTTACCTCTTACCCAAATTAGTGTTACTACTTCTCAGTGACAGCAATGTATTTTGCATCTGTGATGTTTGGGGGTAGATCAAAAATTGCATACTGCTGGGAGGTTCTTGTTATAGAAAGTTACTTTCTGTTGTGAACTTTCTTTAGACGTGCAGTATCAGTATTATTTCAAGACAAACTTGGAAAATTTGGGGTAGAAAAAGCTTTTTTTTACAAGTGTTACAACACTTTACTGTCTGAATATGTGATCTAACATAACACACGCGGTGTGCATTAATGAATGCACAGACCAAGCGTATCCCAAGAATGAGATCCATTAGCAAAGTATGTATGTTGCCACTGGGTATTCAGTGCAGCATGCCATAGCATGGCATTCTGTGATGGAAAGATACTTCAGAAGTTACACAGTGCATGGCGGGGGGGGAAAGCAATATACAGCAGAACCAGATATACTAGTTATTGATCTGGACTTTATTGTGGCATGAGGCTTTACACCTTAACCTAACATCTGCCCTTAGTCTCCTGATAATCATTCTGTCTAACTGCCATTCAGTGTTATTTGGGATACGGGAGTACAAAACATAAAGTGTCATTGTTTTCATTAGTATGCACTGAAAATAAGTGGGAAACCATGAACAAGATCCATTACCAAGAATGATACATGTTTTTTATATTGCTGTTAATTTGATAAGACTTTTTTTTAGAATATTTAACCTGTTCACATACTGAATTGGTCTTCCTAATTTTGGGTGTATCCTTTCTCCCTTCTCTTCAAGTAGAAGCCTGCACTAAAAGTAGCTATCTAGCTAGATCATTGTGACTTTAAATGTGGGCATGGGTAAGGCCCTGAACAGTAAGTTTATTTGCCTACTTAATTCCTATTTCTTACTACTAATGCTTTCCTATTACTGACAGGGAAGTATTAGACCTTTCATGCTTTTACTGAATGGAGTTGCTAGATAGCTGCTTGCATAGCTGCTTGCAGAAGTAGCATTTTAGCAAGTGGCACACTTAAAACTGGACGGTATTGGCTTTTATATTACAATAGGGTCACACTTTTTCATATTCTATATGTTTTCCTGTGTAGGAACATTGGTTGTCATACATGCAGACTTAAAATGTGGTGTGAGCAGTGTAAGGTATTTCATCATAGATCAGACTGATACCAGTAATATAAATAGTCTGGTATAGCTGTATGTCCATGTTTGGGTGGGGTTTTTTTCCCTCTTAAAATAATAATTCTAATTGTTTAATGGTTAGGCGTCACTTTCAGTCTAAAACCAGCTTATTTTAAATACAATTCATATGCATACAACCTACTGAAACTTGGTATTTGTGTCAAAATGCTTATGGAAAGCCTAACTTAATGTGTGATACTTTTGCGCTGCTTCGTTTTCCCACATCTTCCTGTAGTCTAGTGGGTGAAATACATCATCTGTTCTAAGCATGGAGAATTACACGGTCCCTCAGAGATTCTATTTAGAATAATTACGTGTGTCATAGTGTTTCCTATATGTTAGTAACCCAATTAGGATATGCACATTTAAAAAGGAACTGCATTACTCTTCGAGTATCATGGACAGCAAGGTAAGTTTCAAGTTTGAAATTGCCTTTGTTTCTTCCACAAGTGAGCCGCAGCTCCACTAGAGACTTCTTGAAAAGGTGCCACACAGACTTTCAGTTCAGTTTTGATATTGTTTCTCAGTGCAAAGATTCCTTCAAGTTACTTCATTCATGCTGTGGGGCCATTTTAGAACAGGGTTACTAGCTCATCAGCGCTTTGAATTCAAAACAAGGCATGCATTTTCTCCTAATTCCTTTCTCTTTACTTGGTAACATCCCTCGCCAGGTTCAATGGGACAAGCTCCATTTCCCTTGCAAGACTACTCTTGGCTGAAGTTTCAAAGAGCGCTCGCTGTCTTCATCCCCAGCCGGCCCGCTCCTAACGGGTGACTGTTTGTCAGTGACTTCACGCCTTTTTTTTTTCCTTCCTTTTTGCTGAAGGGCCCGCTCTCAGCCTGCCCTTTCCGAACCGCGGCCTCCGGCCTGGCGCCGAGGCCCTCCCCCCGGCCGCCGCCGCGGCGGTTCGGCCGGCTGGGTGCCTGAGGGCGGGCGGCCGGGCCGCAGCGGCTGCCCCGGCGCCCCTCGCCCCGCTGCTCCGCGCCTCCCCTCGGAAGTGAGGTGGCGGCGGCGGGCGGGGCCGGCGCCGGAAGCCAGCGGGGCCGGGCTGCGGGGCGCGGAGGAGCCGGTGGGGGAGCCGGCGGGAGGATCCGCCGGGAGGATCCGCCGTGCAGGTCTGTTGGCCGGAGGAGGGTCGTGGGTCGTGGGTCGTGGGGGGCAGCGTGTGGGGCGGGCGGGAGCCGGGCCGCGGGCCGGGCGCGGGGCCCGGGGAGCCGATGGCGCCGAGCGGGCCGGGGCGGGGGCCTGGCCCCTCCGCCCTCACGGCCTGCCTGGGGCCCTGGCCGCGGCGGGGCGATCCGTGCGTCCCGGGAAAGCAGGGGCTGCTGCTTGTTGCTGGTTCGAGAGAGAGCGAGGACGGGCGTTAAGCGGGCCTCACCGCGAGTGCAGGGGCTGATCGATGCTTGCTTGGCTTTCCGAGGAGAGAAAACGGTACAGAGCTTGCTTGCGCGTTGCCTGGTCTCACTAGGCTAAATGTAAACGCGTGGAAGCTACGGTTGTAACTCCTGCTGCTCTTGCTCTGGAAAGCCAAAGGAACCAAGGAACAACTGTTTTAAACAGGCTACTCCAATATCAACAGTTTCATTAGAAAAAACGTTGTGGTGAGTCCCTTTTCAAGTAAAACAAGCCAAAATTTAGTTTGTGTCTCTGCACAGTTCATTTCTAGATTTCATTCATTCATAGTTAAATTTCAAACTTGGCAACGTTCTTTTATTTCAAAACAGAAAATAAAGTTGTTTGCGAAAATGTCCTGCATCCATCTTCTGAGCTCTTGAGTTTTCAGAAGGGGTTGTTTTAACAAACTATACGTTTTGAGGCCTGGTAGACACTGTCATTCAAGCTTTGGTGCGACTTCTGTGAGTTACTCCTCCCTGTCTTCAGTTTCTCTCTGCTCCTCAGTAGCTGTTTTTCTGTTTGTTGAGTTTGTGGTGGTTTTCTTTACACTAGTCTTTAAATAGGATTTTGTGGGTTGATATTTTGTTTCTATTGGTTTGTGTGGTTTTTTTCCTTTCTGTAATTTAATTACAGTTTTGATATGCTGCTATGTGAAAAATCATACTTCACATTCACATAAAAATATTCCTTTCTCCTCTGATGGCCCTGTCACTGAAAATTTTAATCAATAACAACTTCAGAACGACATTGTTTATATTCTTTAGCCCAACCAAAGAATTCGAGCAAAAACTCTAAAACTAAAAGCAGTGTAATGCCTATTTATTTTCATCTTGTCTTACATTTCATTACACTTTAAATTAGATATGCTTTATTTTTCATTACAAATGTGGAAGAGAGCCATTCTAGTGAATACTGCATTGTCTTTTTCCAAATGATTTGCATGCTCCCACTAGATGTGTTACATTGGTGAAGCTTCCTAATGGCTCTTTATTGTAAGCTACATCCGCGCTGAAGTTAGTAAGCACTGTGCGCTAGTCTTATCAGATGTGTATTTATTTGTAAGTAGAGAAACATCTTCTGTACCTTATTATGTATGAAAATAGTCTTAACTCCCTTTAAATAAGGTGCTGTCTTTCAGCATTTGTGGCTTGCTGCTGCCTAAAGTGAGAGGCCTTGCTTTGTGATGTCTTGCGTTGTATGAGTTTTTTTAGATCCCTCCATAAATTAGCTGAGTACACTAAGCCAGCAGAAAAATATTCTTGTTTTCTTTTCCTGCATTTGTTTTCTTCCGTTGTAGTAAGATCAACTGTAAAGAGGACTGATGAGTGCTGGAGTTGGCACAAGGTAGGAGCAGGAGCCGCTTGGGATGGAAGTGGGGACTGGCACTCCACCCTTGAGGCAGTGGTTTATTTGCTTCCCTGTGTTTTGTGTAACCAAGCCAGTGATTTATTTAGGCTTACTCACTGTTTTGTGAAATTATGTTTTTCTGAAACTTTTGTAGTTATGTCACCCTTCTTCCCCTTTTCCCTTATTTTACTTTATTCTTCTTTGTTATGGAGCACACTGTTTATTCATGTTTGTGTAGGAAAATGTTAGCATGTACCTTTTTTATGGAAGAATGTATAAAGCAGTTACAAGCACATGGCACGTTTATGTACTTTGAGATGAAACCTACCACATGTTAGTTCTTGAGGCTCAGCTGAAATACTGTTTTGTGTGTTGTTCTTGGGGATTACAGTGTTAAAGATATATCCACATTTTAAATGATCGAGTGTAACTCAAGTCATCCTTGCTTGAATATCCCCCTTGAGCTCATCAGCAATACAAAACTGAACAACTTGGAGCAACTCTGCTGAGATAAAAATATACAAGTTGTGCTCTGAGCAAGCGTGCAGTGCTTCTCGTTCATTGCACAAGAAGGAATGGAGGACTATTTTGAATGATTAGTTTGTTGCTGGCTGACTTCCTTGTCTGATGAACTAATTTGATAACACCTAGATGTTCTTATTTTTATGCTGGAAAATCCCTATTATGACTTCTTAGTAGATGTGATACAGTTTGGTATCATAGTGTAGATAGAAAATGGTTGTCTTTGGTCTGTGTGAACTCTAAAAACTGGGGTATAGAGGGGATGGAGAACCTGGTTATGTAAGAACAAAGGCTTTTTACACATCTTTTTCCTTTCAGCATCTCAAGAGGAAAGATCCGTTTTGTGTAGAAATAAGTGATTTCCAGAGGACAGCCCCAATGACAGAACTGTCTGCACATTTACCCCAGTTTCAGCATGGGCAGCTGACAGAAAACTTCCCTGATAACCACCTCAGCAATACCGTATGTAACAAACAATTTTATTGCTTGTTAGCAGTTAAATGGGGATGAATAATGAGTGTGGACAAAATTACAGTTCAGAACTCTAGAAGCCTTTTTGTTTGGAGTAATTTTCTTTATCTGGACTGTTGCAGTGATAAGCAGTGCCAAAATAAATATTCTGTAAAATATCTGATGTTCTAAACTCCTTTTTATATACAGATAAGACTTCCCTCAGTTTAAAGTGGTGTTGGAGTGAGCAAGCCCTCAAGAAAAATAAGAAAATGGGATGGGACACTCCTGTGTCAAACACTGACCTTTAGAGGATTAAGTGAGCTCTCTTGATCTAGCCTGGCTGTGGTCTGCTTGATTCACAGGTGTCTTAGTCACAGAGTTAATTTTAGTCTAGGTAGAGGTTGAAGCCTGGGTTTTGTTGTTGCTACTGCTGAGGACTGCTCCTAGGCAGGAAGAGCAGCACTGTCTTGTCTTACTTGTGAATAGTTGACAAGTTGCTCTCAGAGTTCTTGAGGTTTTTCAGAGAACTCAAACTGTAAAGTTTTATATGATTGCTTTGAAAGACCTAAGCACATAATTGTTGCAAGAACTGTACTGACTGTACTGCACGTGTGTGGTAAAACCAAGTTTAGGTGACCTACTTGGGTGTGGTGCTCAGGCTCTTGGATTTGTCATGCTCAGTTCTTTGTTCCTGCTATAGCTCTTGAACATCAGGTTTCCTTGTGACACAGAAATATTCTTGTGAGCTGGGCCACTTGTAACCATGTTTATGGAAGTGATTGAAGAGACTATTTTGATTCCTGCTCTAACTCTTCTACACAATCCAGTAGTTTAAGTAGAATTTTGAAAAATCCCTGTCTTTATCTCAGATCAGCATCCTGCTATATCAGTACAAATATAAAACACTTGAAAATTTATTTTTAAATTAAGTCAATCTGACTTAAGACCTTATTGATTATTAGAAACTGTTAATAAAAACAGAGAAGTGGAACCTTTCCTACTGTATCCTTTGTGCTTTTACTTCAGAGGGAATGAAAAAGTTTCTTTTCATCTTGGACAGGTGAGAGATTAACTTTTATTGAAACACTTATGCCCAATTAAAAAGGCAGAACTCAGCAATAAGCTGTGGGCTCACCATCCTTACAGATAACTTGGTGATGCTCCTTTACAGCAATGGGGAACGGATGCTTCTATTTACTTCTCGCTAACAGATTGTACTGATGAATAACTACTACTTATGCTTTTTCTTTCCATGTTTAAATGTAACTAGGTGTAGTTTCAATACTTAGTTACAATGATTTTTCTTCCTTATGCACGTCCACTTTGTACATAATGTATGAAAATCCTTTCCTGCTTAAGTGTATCTAGCTTCTGTGGCTAACAGTCAGCGTGTGAAATCAGTAAGTGCTAAATTTACCGTCTCTTTTTCCAGTCACACACAAGAGTTCAGCCCAGTCTTCAATATCTGTCACTGTATAATGACCTTTAAACACAAATGGTGTATGTGACAACTAATGAAGGCTGTGCCCACTGTCGGGCAAGTTGGTCTGATCCTGATGTATAAATCTGGAATTAATAAATAAAAACTTTTTATCAAATAGGCTAGTTTTTTATCTTTTGGTTCAGTGGCATTGCTCTGGGTTTACTATTAACTATTTTCCTGATAGGAAGAAAAAACACCTATCATTTTCTTTTGATATTGTTTATTCACCTGAAAGCGCGTAGTTCATAACTTACGTTTGCTTACGGTGTTACAACAGGTATTACTGACTTTTTAGCTTCAGAATTTTCACTTTTAACTATGTCTGAGGAAAGTGAAGAGTCTGTTCCTTTGCTTCCACTTCAGCAAGAGTCCATGGCCTCTGCTCTGTTTAATACTGATCAGGTAGGATATGAGTGCACTTTGTTCTTTTAAGCAGTGGGGCACGCGCATGTCATGTTTAGCTACACTTTAGTAGCCTGAAAAGAACTTTTTTCTAGTTTTAACAGCGACTGAGAGAATAACTCTTGATGCCAATCTGGTTTCCATGCACTGTGTTTTAGTATGTAAGAGCATTTTGCGATTGTCTTTGTTCCTAACTAGTGAAGGGAATAAAATGGCACATACTGGTCTAATTTCTTCAATTTTTCTCTTCATGTTTGATTTTGCAGTTTTCTCTAGTGGTGTGCAAGTTAATCAGGCTTTTCCTTTGGCTGCTTTTATGTTTGCTTTGCAAAGCTGTAGATTTTTCTTTTTATATTTCTGTGCCTAAGATGGAGGTAGGTGCTCCCTCGTGCAGGACTGCTATTACAGAAGAGAACGAGCAATGTATTCTGCAAGTATGCAGAAACCTGAATACTAGGTCTGCTTTACATGTGAAGTGTTCCAAGGCTCTGATCATTTCCATTGTAGTGTTACTTATGATCGTCTTAGGCAGTTCATGTAGACAAGGGAGCTTATTGCTGTCTTGTTATAGACTAAGATAAATGGAGTATTTTAGTATCAAAGTGAAAAATGTTACATTTGAGCTATAATCTGTACAAAAAAAGGTTCAGCTGCAGCCAGCATTTCAGTATAATTAAACATGATCTCTTATTTGCATTCTCCTATATTCCTGTTTCTGACTTGCAATAATTGTATGTGAGGACTTTATGCAAAAAAGTTATTTATAATGAATCTTTAATTTAGTAAGAAATAATATTAAACCTACAGTCTTTTTCAGGACATACTTTAAGTTAATGATGCTAAATTGAAATTAAGGTTAAAACCTTAATTAAAAAAAAATTGGTTGCCTGCTAGTTTTAATTGTTTAATTAAGACAATTTTAGATTCTTTTTTACTCCCCTTACATACTGTTTCCTTCTTGAAAAATAGAGAAAATTTTCTTAGAGGACTGTTCTTGAAACCCAGCTGAGCTTGATCCTGAGGATACCACAAAAAAGGAGTAAATAGGCAGAGTGTTTGGTTTGTATTGTTACTTTGTAGTGTTTTGTAAAAGCAAATTTTTAATGAGTTGGGGAAGTTGTAAAGCTTCAACCAGAGTTTTAGCAGTGTCAGTGTTTGCAGTTCAAAGTCCAGGGAGTTGTACTCCTTGATCACTTAAGTGCTTTTGAAAACCCTACTGTGAGCTCCTGAGTGTATATCTTATCTTTTCTGAGGGTGGGTCTGGGAAAATTCTGTATAAAGAATCTCCAGAATTACTATTGATTTATCAAAAATCTCCAGGGAGTTAATGAGAGATAAGTCAGCAGTTGTGTTTGGAAATGCTATTGAGAACAGGTAATGAGACTTTAACATTGCATGATTAAGGAAAAAATTACCTGCATTAGAGGATCTAAACAGAAATTCATTAGGCTATTTTCAATGCCCTATCTCATGTCTAGAGCAATTTTACTAAAACTGAGTGATGTTTTAAAGGTATTGCAAAAGGTATCTTTAGTTTATTGTACAGTTCAATCTAAAGCTGCTTTAGTACACTTACTCAAACTGAACTGTTTGTAGATGAAGTCATTCTGAAGAAATGAGATTCATTTTGCAAGGAATCAAAAATCTTTATGCTACATCTCTTACTTTAAACCCTTGAATGGAGGGAATGGGAACAGTACTGCATTGACTTTGCACTTGGTAATATAGTAGAAAAAAAAGAGAGTAGTCTGAATAAACTGTTGCATTTTAGAGCTTGTTTAGAGTGACCAATAAACATAAAATGGTTTTGTTTCTTTGTAGACCAGAACAGGTGAAGTACAGCTCATTCTCTCCTTGTGCTCTCAGTATGTGCACATAACATATAAAAGGCTGAATGCCCCCTACTGATGGGGCTTCCTGGAGAGGGGGCAAAAGGTTCATGGCACCAGGAGGAGTGCAGGCCTGATCATTTACTTATGGGTGGTGCTCCCAGTTTGTTTTTTTGCTTGTAGTTAATCTTAATTCCATTGAAAGTTTACCTCTGTCCTTGAGTTTGAATGACACCCTTGATGTTTCATGTAACAGTATCAGGAAGGGTAGGAGGCACTTCTGTATCTGTTGACAAGGCTGCTGGAATTTCTTCAGTGCCAGTAAAAGGATATGGCAGTAGTATCTTTGGGAAAGGAGAGAAAGAATCTGCACGTTTAGCTCATCGTGCCAAAACCTTGGGATCAAATCTCAGTATAAAGACTGAGAATTACCTGAGTTTGATTACCATTTCTGTGTCATTCTTGCTAAAAATATGGGAACACAATATCTCATGAAACTCCATTTTAATATATATTCTAGTTAGTGTACTGTAGTGGGAGTAACATGGTAAGGAAAGTAGAAATTATCTTGGGATTTTCATGGCGCTAGGGTCATAAATGTCTGTTTGGCATTATTTCTAGGAACAGATATAGCTTGACAAGAATTAAGTGTGAGCAAGCTACTGTCATGCCCCCTTGTATCAACTGTAGTTTGGACCAAGGGAAAAAGCTGTCTTTATTCAGCTATTTAAATTCTGTTTAAAGGAAAAGCGAAATAGGCTGTTAGATGCAACCAGTCTACTTTCAAGAGCTGCTGTTTTTAATGTAAGTGCTTCTAACATAATCCTGCATTCCCATTCTTTTGATAACTACGTGATGCAATTAATTACTACTGCTTAAGTCCTTGCTGTGGCAAGTGTTTTTGACAGTAAATATTACCTTACATGTTTTCCCCTCAAAATCATCTGTAGCTTAGTGTATAAGAACATGACTGTGGACGGTTGCTGAAGAAACTGTTTTGTGTGTATTGCAGAATGACAACAGCGAAAGACGTCGCCATGATAATAGTGAGCGCAGAAGAAATGACAATCCCGAGTCTGAGACCAATGGGCAGCCACAGAACAATCTTCAGCAAGTGGTGGAACATGACGAAGAAGAAGATGAGGAGCTGACACTGAAATATGGGGCAAAACATGTGATTATGTTGTTTGTACCTGTCACACTTTGCATGGTGGTCGTTGTTGCAACCATCAAGTCTGTCAGCTTTTACACACGCAAGGATGGACAGCTGTATGTATCATTTTTTTCCACTTATCTTTTCAATGGACTCTCTTAGATAGTTTCCTTTAATCTCCGTTTCTTCAGGAGTCTAAATCAAGCAGTGAACTCCATCTTGCTTCCCTTTTCCCCTCCATCGGCCTGAAGATAGTTTTCTTTCCTTCCTTCCAGAAACCAGACTCTCTATTTGTGGTACTGTTGACATTTGCTATCTGTCTGGTGACCAGTCAAGATAAGATCATGTTTGTTACTGTTTGATTCAAATCCTAGTCCTCATTTTAATACTTACTTGTGCTCTGTGGTATTTATTAAATAAACTAAATCCTGAGCCAAAGCTATTTCAGTTCTACTCTGCTAGAATACAGAGATTTTGGAAAAGGAAAAAAGCTACTCATTTAAATGAAGTAACATATATGCCAAGTTCTTGTTTGCCTATGCTGTTTGATAAAGAAATTCATATGCAAGAGGAAGATAGCTTTATGAGGTTCACCTCTTTTGCAGTTGCAGAAACTTTCCTGGCAGGTTTCCTGTATGGATTTTTTTTTTTTTCTTTTCAAAACATTAATACTGCCAAAAAAGGCAATTTCAGTGAAAGCTGATTTGAGAGAAAGGAGACAAAGGAAGAACACTGAACCTGTCAGAACCTGCAGCAAATCAGTCTAAATGTTCCATTGTGAAAACGTTTAGACAAAATGATTCAAAGGGTGTTTGGCATTGAAATGTTTATATTATGAGCATGTCATAAAATGTTTCAATAAAACACAACATTCTTTTCACTATCAAAGTATTACCTTTCTTGAGATTTTATTTATGGTAAGTGTTCCCCCCAGCCCTCCATAATGAAGTGGGGTTTTTCCCCGGTTGTGCTTAAGAGAGTTGAGCCCATGCGCTGTTTTGTTGAAATCACTGGGGAACCTTTCGTTGTAAATCCACTAGATGGTGTGCTTATAAAGGTCTAGCTGCAGTAATAGTTAATGATTCATAGCGTGGCAGTAATTGTATCAAACAACATGGAGTTCTGGTTTTTGTTTGGTTTGCAAAGTAGAAAATAGTAGTAACTGAAGAATGTAGGAAAGACAATTCTGTGGATTTTTATTTTTTTTTCTTTTTAATTAACATTTGCCAAATATACTGTGCCACTTTTCACATTTTGCCAAAGTAGAAAATAGCTGTTGCTTTTACAGCTCTGAATTGAAAGATTACTGCAATTTAAATTGATGCTGGCCGCACGTAACAGAAACATCTGTGCATTCAGTGGCATTTCAGTTGATTCTTTGTTGTTGTAGCATCTACACTCCTTTCACAGAAGAGACAGAGACAGTAGGACAGAGAGCCCTGAATTCAATTCTCAACGCGGCTATCATGATCAGCGTTATCATTGTCATGACCATACTCCTGGTTGTGCTTTACAAATACAGGTGCTACAAGGTGAGTATAAATATCATTGACTTGAGTAATTGTGCTCGTTTTATTTATTAGTACAGATTATAGAGAATGGAACAAAATGAGGGGCTATTGAGGATGAATGAGTAAAAGTAGCAGAATTGGTGATTCAATTCACTGTTTCAACTTCGTGGCTTCTGCTCCTTTGATGCATCAGGGAGGCAAAGGCCCAGTGCTAACACTACTGCCTGTTTAGTAAGTCAGAATTAGGGTGGCGTTGCTTCCTCTTCTTGTGAAGTGTACCATGTACTGAAATCTTCCCATGGTCAAGAACTACAAAGTACAGACCTGGTCCTACATTTTGAAATCTATTCAGGACTTCAGGGGCTTTTTGAGGGCTCGCCTCTCCCAGCCCTGCCCTCAGTATAGAAGTCTCCCAACCGTGTGATGTGTGCATGGCTGTACACGCCAGGCAATATCCTTATAGCAAACGCAGAGGCTCTTAAGTCTCTTTTGTGAAAGACTTCCACCGTATAATGAGGTAATATAGGCAAGTCTGGGCTTAGCATAAATAATTGTGATGTCACCTGCCTGGGAGGAGTTATTTGTGAAAATTTTTGTTTGTCTTTGGTCTTAATGACCCATTTGACAAGGCTTGGCCTAATAAAACTTCCCAGTGTGCAGCCAGAACCTTGAATCTGTTTCACAGTTGCAGAACAGGCAGTGAGATCCATGTACTGGCTCAAAGCTTTGTTCCACTTTATTTTGTTGTCAAGAGGGGAGTATGGTTTTGGTCTCCGTGGCTGTGGGTGAAACCTTTTTACAAAGTATCTGTGGAGCGACTGAGGAAATTACTTTTGCCTGAATCTGCATACAGTTTGGAATAGTATTTCTTAAAGTATGGACCTTCTCGTTTATCACAATGTGGTGTTAAATCTGAACTGACAAAGTTTTCTTTTTAAACTGTCAATTCTGTTCATTCTAATGAAGTCAAATAACTGATGTACTGATATACTTCAGCTAGGTTCCTTGGCAGCCAATCAGTTCTCAGGTGCTGAGGGCACCAACTAGTTTTTACTAAGCTTTTCACATTTCTGACTTCCCTCTTGACCTTACAAAGCACTGCACATTTTCATTACAAAAATAATTGTTATACTGAAAACTTAGAATGATTAGAGAACAGAAATTTCCTGTAGTTACATTTTATGCTAATTAAAATAAATACTTATTTTTAGAATTGCTAAAGAGTATTTCTATGCCACCATACCAGAATGCTGTAAAATGCAGTTACCTGTCTACTGAAATCTAGTTTACATGCAGTTCTCTATGTATAGTATAGTCTAGATGTTGGGGAATGGAACTTATAATGAAAGAATGCTAGGCCTCCAGCTGGTAGTGATAATTTGCTTACCTTCACAACATTTTTACCTGAAAAGTCCCTTGAAGACAGGAAATACTATTTCGACTTTACTGCTGTTAGTTTCCTACGCTTCTCCTCTATGTGATAAGTTAAGCATGGTCCTGATTGTAGCTCCTACATACAACTACAAACAGCATCTTTGAAGGTGATTGTATTTGACTAGCTTTTCTTTTTTATGTATTTTATTATTCTGTGTTCTTTATTGCTTTAGTCTGGCTAACCAAAATCTGGCTGCTGTAGCTTGTTTTAGTTCTCTGCATTTTGCAATCCTTAGTTTTTATTCAAGTTGTAGCAGGCAGAGCCAACTCTGTACCAGCAATCAATTAATGTTGAAGCTGTTGTCAAATGAAGAATGAAAATTCTTAATTATAAGCCAAAAAACCTGTCGTGGTATTATGCTAGGAAAACACTGGCCAAAACTTACAAGAAATACTTTGGAAAAATCACTTGTATGAAAAGAAGCTGGTGATCTGGAAAATGCTATAGCAAGTGAGATATATACTGAGAAAAAAACCCCAAACATCTGTGTGTAAAATGCCTATTTATGTCAACTCTTGAAACTACTTCCTTTAGTACTGTTGACAGTAATTATATAAAGTGCATGCAAACATTTGCTGGACTGTGGCCTTGGTGTTTAACATTGCTAGCATTTTACTCTTTACTAGAAGGAAACATCAGTATTCTCAATATTTTCTTATGTGGTAAGAAAGTTTTAGAGCTTATACTACAAATAGAAGAACTATAGATAAAAGTCATGTTGTTATTAAAAAAAATACACAACTTGCTTTGCTGTGTTCTTAAAAAGGTTTCAACTAGTCTTACAGAGAAATAAAATTACTCTTGTTAGGTCACTACTTAGATATAGAAGTAGTTTTACGTGTTTGAAATTTGGTTTCTGTTTCAGGTACCTATCAGTCTTCAGCTTTACTATGTTTTTTTTTTCCCCCCACTTGCTGCGAGTGGTGACAATTGGACGAGCTGAGACAGATATTTTGGCAGTTTCCTTGCACCATGCTTAAAACATGGGAAATTCTTAAGTCTTTTTGAGAGGACACTAGCAAACATGGAAAGCCAATCTGTTAGATTAGCAAGTTAAATGACAGGTTTTATTAGGTTAAAGGTTAAGTTTGAACCTGTTTTGAAAGACAGGGAGTGTGAAGGAGGAGAATGAATGTTTCAAAAATTGCTGAGAATTCTAAAAATGCTTATGAACAATTTAGTATTAGACTCAATGTACTAAATTACTAACTGTAATAGCTAGATCTTTAATTCGCTGGAAAGTCCTCGTTGCCTCACATAAATGTGATTCCTTTAGTCTGTGTGCATATGGGCTTTACTAAATTTTGCAAAACATTTTAAAAGCTATAACGTAAGATGCATTATCCTACACATCTTTCAGAAGAAGAGGAATAGATGCTTTGATCTGGTGTACATATATAGCTAATTTAACCAGTTAATTTTCCACTAAGCATGACTATTCAAAGCAGGATATCTTATGCAGCTTGAATTTCCAGATTATTACATCTGACTGGTTATCTACTTGCAATGTTGGGTTTGGTTTTATATATAAGATTCTGTGCAGGAAATTTGGCAAATTCATGTTTAATTCTCAGTTCGGAGATGACCAAAGTTACAGTGCTCTTCAATCTTAATTTTTAATTTTGCACAGTATATACATACAGGAGTGGTAGGCACTTTCGTCTGTGCAAAGTCTGAGTGCCTGTCATGTCCAAGTTTAAATCTATGAGTGTCCCTGCTGAGTACAACCCTGAACTGTTTTTTGTTAAATTGTTGGGCATGTATATCTGCTCTCAAATCAAAATTAGGGATTATGTTTATCCATGATTGATATAGAATATAGAAATCTTTATATAGTCATTCACCAAAGACATGCTAATTCTGATTTCCAACAGATGAGCACTGAAGGTTTTTCTGTGCTCCAGCATTTAATTCTATAACTGCATTCTGAAAATTATCTGGAATCACAGCAGGCTTTTTAATTGCGCAAAAATGAATCATGTTTTTCATCTGTGTTAGTGCTGGATGCTTCTGCTATGTTATAATGCCAGTGTTATCAAAATGGCCTAAAAATATACAAGCAGTAGCTTTCATTGTAGAGAACCTCTATTGAAAGACCACAAAGCACTTACAGTTCAGAAGTTGAAATACAATAATGTGTATAGCCTAAATATGAATTTAGCAACAACCAAAGCGAGAGAGATCTGAATATCATTTTTTTGCTCTAATCAAAAGGGAAATAACCCTAAAAGCATTTTTAAGTAGATATTAACTTTAAAATAAGAAATCTAAAAATATCTATATTGATACCTTTTTTCCTAGGTGATCCATGGTTGGCTTATCATTTCTTCTCTTTTGCTGCTTTTCTTTTTCTCATTCATCTACCTAGGGTAAGTGAATTAAAGCATGAATACACTGTTTTTCATGTATCACTTTGTGTATGTGTCTATTTTAGAACTAGTTATGGAATCTTAAGAAGGATGATAGTGAGTAAGCTATTGCAATAAAATTTTCAGTTTTATAGGGGTTCATAGAGTACACATAAAAGAGAGGGATGTTTATAGTGCATTGGATATTGTACAGAAGCTGTCCATCACATTTATCACCATAATAAACTGTCATCCACAGGGTAGCTTATTCTATTAGCATATCTTCTATAACAATTTTGATAACAATATGACTCAAGCGAAGTTGTTTACGTCATGGTTTTGGTGGTGGGATGTATATGCAAAGGCTGTTTGTGTGGTAGTGGCAGCAAAGAATCAGCTGAAAAGAATCTACACTCTCACCAAAATATATTCAGTGTTTTTCTTTTCAAATTTGAAAGCATGCCTTTATCCAGACATCAAGAAGAGTTGTACATAATACTCAGTATTCTCTAAAATGAGCAATGTGATCAGGGTTTCTAATTAGAGTTATAGCATGACATTATTACACTCTATATTTTTGTGCCACTTCATCACTGATACACTTCTCTTTGAAGAAGCTTATTTAATTTGGTCTCAAGGGGAGAAAATAGTGTTCCTTCAGTGACTGATTTTTACCAGAAGTGATCTGTGATGACTTCTTTGGTCAGTATTTTCTCTAACCTCAGTAACAACTTTTGAAATACAGGGCAGTGTGTGCTGCACCAGTGCGATGCAGGCTGAGTAGAGACAAGTTGCCAGGCTTGCTTCCTTTGGGTTTGGATTGGAGCTGGCACTTCCATGGGCCTGTGTGAGCAGGGGGACTGAAGGCTTTCCTGACACTCTGCTTTCCTTCACCCGTCCCTGCTGCCTCACAGCAGTGCTGGCTTACTTTTGCAGAGGTCGAGTGGGTGAGGAGGGAGGGAGTTTATAGACCAATTATAGGTGATGGCAGTAAGGGACATCCTGTTAACACTCTACATCTCAGAGGCCAGCTAACAATTATGTAAGACAAATTTCCTGGAGGGAAAGTATCATGTAAATTATAAGGTTCTTAGTGCCTTGATGAGATGGTAGCAGCAAAATCTGCGAAAAGCCATCACAACCATTTCTTCCCTGGGTTCATGGAATTCACCAGTGACTTGGTGACAGCATTATTTGTCTACTTTGGTTTTACTTATTGAGGGTCCGAATTAGTTTATAGTATTTAGTGTGACAGAGTGACACAGTTAATCCAAAAAGAAAGCTCTTCAGTGTTTGTGGTGAAGAATAAAATGGAATAACCACACTGAAGTTAGCAAAGTGTTTCCATTCCTCAGGTGGCAGGTAAGTAGAGGGATATCTGTTTGCATGCCTTTGAAGATCCTTTATAACCGCACAAGTTCTTACTCTGATTTTTAAAAATCATGAGCAAATTGAAAATGACTGGTTTTGCAGTATTGTCCATTCCTGTGAATTTCTGCTTTGATTGAGAAGGAAGCAGAAAATCAATTAAGATTTTCAGAGAAGTGAGTTGGTGTCGAGAAAACAATGGTAAAATTATCCCCCCTGTGAAGAATGCCTCAATACTAATTGGAGATGGAATTTTACACTTGTGCCACTACATTGAATATGAAATTTAAAAAAAATATTCCGAAGCTTGCATCTGTAACTTGTTTCCATTGTTTTAAGCAAATGCAGTCCATATTCTTTTCCTTTTTTTTTTTTTTTTAGTGAGGTTTTTAAGACTTACAATGTTGCCATGGACTACATCACGGTGGCACTCATGATCTGGAACTTCGGTGTTGTGGGAATGATTTGTATTCATTGGAAGGGTCCGCTTCGGCTCCAGCAGGCATATCTCATTATGATAAGTGCTCTCATGGCCTTGGTGTTCATTAAGTACCTTCCTGAATGGACTGCATGGCTTATCCTGGCTGTTATTTCAGTGTATGGTAAGGTCTGGGGCAAGGCACAGTAACTGGTATTGTGGGAGTTTTTTCTATTCCCTGAGTCTTCTGTTTGTCTGACTAGACCTTAAAAAAAAAAAAAAAAAAAAAAAAGTGTGTGTGGGAGTATCATCCAGAGTAGTGGATAAGGTGATTACAGACTTCAGAAATAAGATCATGATCTAAACTGAGATCGGTCCCCTGCAGTTACGGGTTTTCTGTGACTGTGTGATACCATCTTCCCTCCTATTTTCTGAACTTTCCAGATTCTTTGGGGAGGAGAATTGAAGTAATTCAAGACAGGAGGAGATGAGAAACCTATGTTGCCATTTTGATCACTTCTATGAAGGTGGAGAGCCTCTGGCTTCTCATTTTCTTCAAGAATCCTTGGAAACTATTGTATGTTCAGAATTTAGGAGCTTGTTGTTTGGATACAGTCCCCTGGTATAGATCTGCCCAACCTATGAATTGCTCAAAGTTGTGGATGTAAAAACAGCACCCTGATCCATGCCTAATAATACAATGAGAAAGAAGCAAGGAAGGATTAAAGGCAGTTTTCATTGCTCAGAGTTATTTTACGTTTAGAAGGATATAGTTGTGATATCTGTCTCCTTGATTTTTTAAAATAAAAATAAAATTAATTTGAATTATATTACGCTTTTTCAGGATTATGACTGAGATATCTAGATGTAGTTTTTTCATAAAGCTTTAGAGGGCACTGGACACTTTTGGTAAGACGATCACTCTGTATCCCAAATACCAATTTAGTTTCCAGGTAAGACTAAAATCCAGTTACTTAGACATAATTTTAAAATTACAGCTAAGTGTATCTGTGAAGATGTGCTCATAACTTGAATTTTTTTGGAATCATGTAAGTGTGATGAATGTGTACTCTGAAGGTCACTGGTAATGATCAGGACTGAGAATCTGACCTGTTGTAAGAGTGCAGGGTTTAATAAGATTTGTTTAGCTCTGGTAGGTCAGTGTACTCCTTAGGTGTCCTCTTCCTTCAGAGGGAGGAAGAATGTCCCTTGTGTGTATGCTCATGGATCATAGGGCACATTAAGACAACCTTCCCATCCCCCCTCCCCACTGCCACCCTTCATATGACTGGAACAAATCTGAGTATGCCAAGCATTCAGCCTTCTTTGTTCAGTGATTGCAAAATGAAGTTACTCTTCGGATCATATTTCAAGACCATAACATAGTAGTTTTGTGTATAGGGGAGGTAAGTTTCAAAGTCTGTGACCGCATGCTAGGAATTCTTTACTTGAGCAGGACCAGCAGTGCTGCTAGGGCAGTTGGCTCAGGTGCAGGTGGCTTGCTCTGTGCAGCATACAGCTCCTGACAAGGAAGCTGTTCCTTTCGGTGTCAGATTTTGTTTCAAATGAGTTTAAAGACATATGGTGAGTGGACAAATGCAAAAGGTAGTAGCAAGGTTAATACGTAAATGTTGCAGCTTTCTGTCCAAATATGCAAGACAAGGGAAAAGTAGCTAAGGTTGTTTGTGGAGTTGCAAATTTCATTAACAAACCGTCAACATTCAGGTGAGAAAGCAGATGGAGCATCTGATAGATCAGTTTTCCTTAATGCTCTGCTTTGATTTGTATGAGTAACTTGTACAGTCATCCTATTTTGTAAATGATTGCGGTTCGGTTAATTTTTACTTGTTCACCCAGTTTCATATCCTATCCGATGAACAAGAATTGAGAGAAGCAACAGAAGGCTGCTGTTCTTTTCTTATGCTAAATATGCTTTGAACGCCTCTCAAATCTATGCAAACACAGCATTTTTCCTCATTGCTTAATAAACCTGGTTTTTTTCCTTTTCACATGCGCATTCACTTTTTTCCTCTTTAAGTGGGAATAAGTTGGCAGTCATACCTACTTCACGGAAGTTATGTAACCCTCATTTAACTGTTGTCTTCAGATTTGTTTTAGCATTACACTTTGATTAAGAGAAACTTCGATAATAGAAACCAGGCTAGGGTATTTCCAGGATGTTAGTTCAATAGTAGCTTTTCATGAATTATTTGGTTTCAGCTTGCAAGTCAACATACAGGCACAGATACATTTTCACTTTCATAATATCTTAAGTGAGGAACATCACGATTTTTAATTTGCACACATATTACAGTAATATGTAAAATAGGTTCTATAACTGAGAATATTAAAAAGTATTCCTGTAGGACATGATTTGTGGCCAATGGCTCTCTTATAAATCTATGTTCACGGTAGCATTTTATCTTTATTACCAGTCTCTGCAAGTGTTAGAGAAAAACCTTCTAATAAGTATGTCTGCAGTGATAGAAGATCTCTTTGTTCTTCCTTTCAGATTTGGTTGCTGTCCTATGTCCTAAAGGTCCTCTTCGTATGCTAGTTGAAACAGCTCAAGAGAGAAATGAAACTCTCTTCCCAGCACTTATTTACTCCTGTAAGTACATTTAAATATAAATACATACATATAAATTAAATAATTTAAATTAAGTTAAATACTTTAATCTTATAATCACCCACTCAACTGAAGTGATTTTCTCATTTTTCAGTGTTTTATAATGATGTTTGTCAGCTGGAATTCTTAGTCTGTTCACTTGGGCCTCAGTTTTCCTTTCACTGTTGACTCAGAAATGTAGAATATCTGGCTAAGGTCTTTCAAGATAAAAACTAGCACCTTTTGTTACAAAATACGAACAGGAAAAATGATAATACACCTTCTTTTGGCCAAAGTAGTATGTCATTAGGCTGTGAATTAAGCCTATTCAAAGGGAGTATTTGTTTTCAGAAAATATTCATCAGCTTTCAGTGCTTTAATAACCTGTGCGTTACTGGAAAGAAAGGGAGAAATAGCCAGGGAGACATTCGTTTACAAAACTGTTTTCTCCAGGGCTTGACTTTTTTGATACTTTTTTTGTCCCTGCAGCTGCAAAAACATAACCTATTGAATGCAAATTGCTGTTGTGAGCTGTGTATCAATTAGCACATAATTCCACTGTTTCTGAAGTTCCATGTTGCTGGTTGTAATCATATGGATAAGCAGTGAAATAGGTTAATAATACATCATTATGCTACTGGTGCTCAAGGAAGGCCTGCACTTGGAAGCAGGAAGTGTGCTGTGGGCTGAGTGGCTGCTTTGGGGGCAAGCTTACAGTGCAGAAAAGGGGGGGGGGTGTCTTTATCTGTCACTCTTGCTGTGTTTTACTGATACTTCTTATAGCTGTCTGTTCTGTTTTGTCAGAAGAGAGGTTAACGCTGAGAAACCACAAACTTGAATTAAAATCCACCATTTAAGTGTGACAATATTTCATTACCTCCAGATTGGAGAATTCTTTGTGATGGTGGGGGCAGAGAACAATTAACTTTGCAGATACAGCCTCTGAATTGAGGTAGTTCAGTATCAATCTTAACAGACTTTTATACTTGCAGATAAAAGAACTGATTAATGGAAAAAAGTAAATAAATCATTGATTCAGATTTTCCAAGTGTGCCTCATATATAGAAGTAATTTCTCTGGCAACAGCTGTTGCCATTTTTTCCAACCTCTAGTAAGAATAAAACTTTTATTCACTAAATCCTGTAAATGCATGTTGTAGCTGGTACTGGCTGCGTTCCAGCTATTACTGTGCTTTAATGAGAGTAAAATTGCCTGTTGCAAAAGATAGTTGTATCAAAAAGAAAAAAAAAAGAATGGCTTGATGCCAACACTGTCTCAAAATTGCATGCATCTGAAGTTATGCTGGGGTGTTTTTGTTGTGTTTTTTTTGTTCTGTTTTGTTTTTATAGCAACAATGATATGGCTAGTGAACATGGCTGAGGAAGATCCAGAAGCCCAACGGAAAGCATCCAAAAACTCCACTTATGATAAACAAGGTGAGTTTTTCTTTGACAAGCCTTTATAATTGTCATTTGGTTGGAATACATGTTTATGGAGACTTGTTTTTTAGCTTTTTAAGCCTCCTGGTTACTGTAGAAGAGTGAAAGCATAGAGGCCTTATTAGGAATGATGAATCTGTCAGGACTTCAAAAAATGCGTACTTACTGTGCAGTTAATGTCTTCACATTTGTTTTTCTAGGATCCTGGATGTTGATGGTAAAATGACTCTCAATAGACAACTATTGACTGAGCTCAATTGCTCGTCAAATTGGGATGATCTAGTCTAATGCTAACTCATTTATATTTGTATTAAATAGAAATGTGTCTAGCCCTCTTGGCTATGCAGCTAGTGTTTAGAAACATGGGGTTTGTTTGTTTACATGTATTATTAAAGCAGAGCAGAGTTTCTGAATTTAACATGCTTGATGGCATGTATGTATATGTAACTTTCAGTAAAGTTCTCTATTTTACTGGAAAATTAAGCTGTCAGTGTTGACTAAAGAAGCTAATGAAATATTAAATGAGAGTTTGTTCCTTAAACTGTGATCTTGAAATGAGGACACCACAGAACTTCCACTCTATTATGTCCAAGTACTCCTGAATACTAGGACTTGAGTGTGACATGTGGATGATGTGACTGCAGAGTGCACATTGACTCCTGATTGTTTAAATAATTATTAAAATCCTAAGTGAGAATGTCTTATAATGGTGTGTGCCAATGTTGCTAAATATTATGGAATACCTATTTTTTTCTTCATTCTTCTATGATCTTACATGTGGAAAGAATGTCATGTTTTAGAAGGCACATTTTTGAAGGAGATCTTAAATGCCTTTCTTCCTTTGAGCTCCGGCAAACCAGACTCAGAATGAAGATGCTGAAGCAGATGATGGTGGCTTTAGTCAGGAATGGCAACAACAAAGGGACAATAGAATAGGACCCATTGAATCAACACCCGAATCGCGTGCTGCTGTTCAGGCTCTACCCAGTAACTCTCAAACAAGTGAAGACCCCGAAGAACGTGAGTATGGAGTACTGTGTCTGAAAGATTTAGTAAATCTGAAGCTGGTTATTCTTAGTCTTAGTCATCCTGACTGCACAGATACAGTGTGCTGTGAGCTAGTAGCAAGCTGAAGAGCTGCTCTTGCTCATGATCAATACTGACATGCCTTACAGAAATAGATGAAGTTGCTTTTCGGTAGCTTTTGGTTTTGCTGCAGGAGTGAGTAATATTAACCAAACTCATCTTCAGTTTGATACACAGACTCAAAACTTTAATAACACAAGCTGTTTCCAGACCATTATACAGTCAGTTGCATTAGCTTCTGTCTTTTTCACATGGTGTTCTGCTGTGTTTTGCCTCTTTTGGATTTTTGGCCCTGTAAATGCGGTCATTAATGTGTTTGCCTCAAGATTAAGCTACTGCAATTCACTCTGTAGAAAGCAATGTTTAAAACCTAATTGGAGACTGAAATGAATGCAGGATGCCATGGGCTTGCTTATTTTTCTCCAGCATCCTGCTGAGGTGCAGTATCTTTGGAGAGCATATGACAACAGTACTCGAATATCTCATTTAACAGAATTGTGATTTCCAGTTGGAGTTTAAGCTGCTATTACATTTGCAAAGCTCTAAATAAATTAAAGTCTGCCTGTCTAATAAACTGGTCTCCCCATGTGATGCTGCCATATTTAGCAGGTTAAACTGTTTCCTCTGATTGTCAGGCACTCCTCTATTTAAAAATACAGAAAATTCTACTTTTAAGAACAATTTTAGAATTTACTTTGTCTCAAAAATTCTAAATTCAGTGTGAGTTGCAAATATGTTTTCATTTCTAGAGCTTAGAGAAATAACAGTAAGATGCAAAAATTTTATGAATTGGGCTATTTTAGTTAACAGGTCAACTAACACTCTTGTCTGGCCAGACTAGTAGTTTTCTCCTTCCTGTATTCCTACCGGGAATAGTAGTGACAGATGTGCAGTGATCCAGTCAGACTTGTCAGTCAGCATTAGCTTACTAGAAGTTTGGAGCAGCTTATTAGAAATTTGGAGAGTTTGCTTGTGTGGAAGGAGTTATCTAGCAGTTGGGTTTGCTTATTGTCCTGTCACGGTGAAAGCAAACATCCAAGCTTTGTTTCAGCAGTTAAAGGGTGTTTTAGTGCTTAAGAGCTTTTCATTAATGCACTTCGCTAGACCATATATTGGAGGCCTACTGAAAGAGGCCTCTCTCCTCCATATTTTTTTTTTTTTTTTTTTTTTTTTTTTTTCCCCCTCTTCTTCTCAGTGGTCAACCAGGCATACACCTCTGTTTTGATGCTCGTTCTTAGAACTCAAAAGTGAGTTTTGGGTGAACTACAATCAGGTGACATAGTAAACAACAGGCCAGATCAAAACAGCTGGTGACCTGATGTTGGCCTCTCCTGACTTAATATAGCATCTTGGACTAAAAGCTCAGAAAGTGAACTGACATTCAGGAAGTCTTTGTTATTTTATTTGCAGAAATAATTAAGTATTGTGCTCCCAGAGTTGTTGCTAAGGTGGGAATTACTATTTAAAAAGAGTAAGACATTAGCTCATGAGTTTTCCTAAATCCCACGTCTTGGACTAAATATGTTGGGCTTTTGCCTCTGTGATATGCTCTGTAATTACGTACAAGTGCTTTGTAGAATTACGTTAATAAGAATTCTGTAGGAAAATTGGGAGGGCTGTGGAATATTTTGCTGGGTGTAGGTTTCTAACTGGCAAATAAAACATCATCTGCAAGGGATTTATTTGATTTCCCCCTCCCTTAGCCAGCTTAAAAGGAATTGTACTTCGGTATTTTGTTGAATATGACATGACAAACAAAAGTGGGCACCCTGCCAATAAATACAGTTACCCTATGTGAATTTGTATATATTTCATTTGTTTGTACAGGAGACGAGGAATATAGAAAAATTCTAACTCTAGAATAAATTGAGTGGTGTAATGTTCCTAAGCCATCTTGTTTCACAACAGTTTATGACTTGATTCGGGCATGGTACTAGTTTTGAAAAAAAAAATGTTCGTATTAGCAAGTCTTGTTGATACTTAATGTAAATCTGTATTATTCCCTGACAATTACCGTTATATAATATTAGTAGGCTGTCTGATACTTAATGCTGTCATATATTCACTTTTGCAGGAGGAGTAAAGCTAGGTTTAGGAGACTTCATTTTCTACAGTGTCCTTGTTGGCAAAGCCTCTGCAACAGCAAGCGGGGACTGGAATACAACTTTAGCATGTTTTGTAGCCATATTAATTGTGAGTATAATGTAATATTATAATCGAAATAGTTTTTGTTGTTCATCAGAACAAAGTCATAACTGCTACATTGTTTTCTTCGGAATTCATTTGTTTGGTGGCCAGACTGAAAACTTACGAGAGCTTTAGCTATGACCTTCATTGGATGTACATCTTAAGCCTTGCATTTCGGAAGGCATGAACTGTATCTTGTATTTCTGTGTGATTAATGTTTATATAAGTATATAATCTTCTGCTTGTCAGAGTTCCCTAATTTCTCCTTTTGTTTTTTGTTTCTTTGTTTTTTTTTTTTTTTCCTTCCCCTTAGGGTCTGTGCCTTACACTTCTGCTTCTTGCCATCTTTAAGAAGGCCTTACCAGCTCTTCCAATATCCATAACATTTGGGCTAGTTTTTTACTTTGCTACAGATAACTTGGTGCAACCCTTTATGGACCAGTTAGCGTTCCATCAGTTTTATATCTAGCATACTTGATGCTTGTATTCTATGGATATTTGTAGCAAATCTGGGAGGAGAAAAAATGTTTTCCCCTCAGTTCTCAAGTGAGACTGAAGTTTAATACTCAAGATTCCAAGCCTGAATCATTACAACTTCCTCCGATGGTGGTTTGTTTGTTGTTCTCCTTTTTTTTTTTTTTTTTTTTCTCTTCCCTGAGACAACTGCTGCACTGGGCACCGTATGAATTTTCCTGTGTGAAAGTGGCTTCTTCCTGATGGCCGGTCTAAACCGGGTGCTATTATATCAGAGGTAATCTGATATACATATCTCTGGTAAGGACCACCTGTGTGAAAATTGCTAATATTTCCACCAGCAATGTGATCTCTTACCACAGGTTGATTATTTTCACAGCATTAAGGGTGCTTGGGACTTCCTTGGTGTTAACAGAGGAAGCTGGCAAATCACATGGACCTTGTCCCTGTAACCGTTTGAAGAGAGAAAACCCAATTCGGACTTCTTCAGCAGTGATATTTTGACAGTGGAGTCATGACTCTTTATGTAACAAGAAAGGACTTTGTAGCAATTCAACAAAGGGAGAAAGTACTGTCACTCTGAGTGCTCCACCACTTCATAGCCTCTGTGCCTGAGTGTGCTTGGTTAGTAAATTTCAAAGCTTTTTTTTTTTTCCACACTGGAACCTAGAGCCTCTTCTCAGTTTTAATACTTTGTATCCTCAAGCATGGAGCGCCCCTTCTGTATAGGTGCTCCAGTTAATGTAGCTATTTAGACTTGGACTGAATTATTTCGCATTAGTGGATCATAAGGTCCTAATTTGGATCTTAGATTTTGAAAGGTAAATAAACTACATTAAAAAGCAATTTCAGGACTTACTCTTTGTGCTCTTGCAAATCATTTTGCTAGAACACCATTTCAAACCCTGTGTTTGAGAATAGTCACTAACGATATGGACTGAATTGTTGGTGTGTGTTCCTTCTATTACAATTCTTATGAAATAAGTAGACATTTGCAGCAATCCCAGGTGGAGTTTAGCTTGCCAGATCGAGAGGCCAAAGTGCTATTAGTAGCACTTCTAATGCATCACTAAAATTTTTCCTCTTCAAAAATGTCGTTTACAGTTCTGTGGACCTGAAGTATTGGTCACTCAACCACCTAACACCTCAGGTTGGGCAGGGATTTTTTTTTTTAGTGCAGTATCTTTATTGGTGAGGATACTTAAGTTAGGTGAGACATTACTTAATGTTACCAAGGAGCAAAGTTTGTGGCCCTCTTCACTTTGTCTCTCCTGCGAGGAACCAAAGACTGGAGAAATGAAAGACAACTCAAAATCACTGAAAAAAAGATGGGAGATTTTTAACTTCTCACAAGAAAAAGGATGGATTCAAACCTTAAAACTGCTAAACTCTGTTTTCCTCTTCGTTTGAAAGAACTCATCTATGAATAATTGCTTGGAAATGAGACTTGTGTGAGATGAAGTTGTTTTTGCCGTAGGGTCTTACTCTGTACAAGTAATTTTTTTCTGAGGGAAGCATAGGGAGTGGATACTGTTGACGGGCATTCCATTTTACTTGCATCTTGATACTGGAGTCCTTGCCAAGTAGAACAATTGTCAAAATCCTGATGCAAACTCCTTTTACCCTTTTTCTGGGGCTTTGTTTCAGTGCTTATAGATTCAAAGGACTGAGATATCACAGATGCTCAGCAACCATTGCCCAAATAAGGGAAGAAAGGCTGTGATGTATAAATCTGCTTTAAAACCAAGAAAGGCTTACTTTGATTGTCCTTGGAAACATCTGTCTTTTCCAGTATGACTTGCTAACTGTAGTGTCAGCGTTTACACTTTCATAAAATATATTGTCCTGTCTCCTCTAAAGTACTTTTATTCATCTCATTTGTATGCTGATTCATTGTGGGTAGCATTAATAAAATAACCATATCAGAATTGCTTACACTGACTTTTCAAGTCAAACTTGCTTGTGTTTTCTAGCTTAAATCAGTGTTCCATATTTTGCTGCATGAAGACTGACTTAAAACAGGTTGTCTGAGTTTTTTGTTTTGTTTTTTAACAAGACTTTGAGTTGTTTTTATACTATTGTAACTTGTCTCTTTCTTGAGCGTTATAGGAAAATTCCCTTGTGTGTTTCATTGGGCATCCTAATGTTTTGCTGTATAGAGCAGGTTTGCTAAGAGTTGGCATAACTATCATCTGCTTGCATATCTGAGCTGACTCTCAGTTAAGAGTTGTTACTTAAATGCAGCAGTCATCTTTATTGTTTGTTTTTTGGCTTAAATATGCACCACGGGAGCACTAGCTCTGTTAAGAGTTGCTTTAGAATCTATAGAAATGCACAAAAGCCTTTCCACATACTTGAATGGGTGTTAGATGTACAAGCCAAGGAAGAGTTCAGAATCTTCAAACACTAAATTGACAGTCTTCCACTCCCCACAGCTGCTTCTGCCATCCTGAAGTTTCAATTTCTAAGCTAGTGTGGAGTTTCAATGGTGGAAACTATAAAATTTATATTCATAGAAACTGTTCAGGTTTATGTATTTGAATCTCAAAATAAATTTGGAAGGGAAATTGCTTTTCAAGCCCAGGCCAATATATGTTAAAAGTACACTGCTTATTACCAAGTCTTACTTACACCTTCAAAAAACAAATGAAATTTTCTAGATTTGCCCTTTTGTGCAAAGTCAAGGTAGCTTATGTTCCACATGATGTCTTGCAACTGAAGATCATCTCAGCACTTGGGTCCATAAGGTTCAATTGAAAGTATTTTTTGTTTGCATTTGAGTTGTTAGTACATAAATGTGAAGGTTGTGTCACTTTTCTCTCCTTTGTCTTGAAACACCAATCTAATTTGAGATCAAGAACTATTTTGGCTTGGTTAGCTTGGTATAACTGAAAGACTTCTGGTATGTAGTCTGCATTTTTGAGAGAGTTTTTGTTATTATTAGATTAGTATCTTAATGACAGCACATTAGGCTGTAGTTCTGAAAGAACTATTGTGTAACCGTAGTAGCTAGATTAACCTCTTGTGCCCAGGCAGACTGACTGGTAACTGTTGTGTGACTGTTTCAGTATTCATACTTTAAAACTGGGTGTCATGCTAGCTTTCTCCCCTTTCACCTTACATCAATGATTAGCCTCCTCCTTTGGCTAGGCTTCAAATAAATAAATGAGAAAACATAATGCTGAGTTACAGATTTGCCTAAAAACCGGTCACTTTAATTTCTCCTTTATTTTTTTTTTTTTTTTCCTGTTGAGGGATTTAATCCAGAGCAAAAAAAGAGAGATCCCTGGAAGCTTGTCTTATAGCAAAGGTGTATGATGCTGTCATATCTATGTATGGCTGTTATGGTGGCACTCAAATTCAAATATCATGTGTGAGGTGAGTCTTGAAGGTACACACATGATGTTGCAACACATTCAGAATAGTTCTGACTGGGCAGATGATGATTTCTTTGAGCCAAATAATCAAGGGCTGTGCTCCACTAAAAATGGCTAATCTCCTTAGTGTACAGAGCGGAACCTGTCTGTTTCAGTCATAGGAGACTGGTGCTTCTTGGGTATATAGATACATATCTGTACCTATAGAGATGTAGATATATACGTAATCTGGACCTGTAGATGACAACTGTTCTGCCATTAGTGCAGTCAAGAGTTAAATATGCAGAAGCACGTTTTGAGTGGACGGTACTGTATGAGGAAACTTCTCCAAATGCTTTATTTAAAAAACAAAAAAAAATTACTTTTGGCAATGATGCTGTTGAAATGAGTTTAATAGACTGTGGAACATGTCTGCACTGTGATTGCATCTCAGTGGTAACTTGGTCATTGGGGATGCTGAAACATGAAGTAGAACAGAATTCTTTTACACTCAAAGCATTTGCTGTTTTCTTTTTTACAAACACTGGTTTGTACATAACCTGAATTGAATGTGAATGTTTTTTAAACACCTTTCTGGTTCTTGATAAGATACGTTTTTGATAGATTATTTCAAATTTTCCTGTATTTGTTTAATTATTAAAATAAAAGTTGCATGGATCCTGACTTATCTTGCCTTTACTATATTATTTTGAAGTCATCACTGTTGAAGGCCTACATACTGCAGCTATTTTTATTCAACATTTAATGAGTAAGATTCCTGTTGGAAAACACTTAAGTAGCTGCTTTATTTCCCAGAGGAGGAGCTTCAGACTGATTTCTGTAGAAGTACTTCCTTCTAAAAGCTACTTTTTGTGTTCATTTAAAGAGTCAGTCAAAGCCTGTTGCAAAAGTACCCATAAGGTATAATAAAGCCATGAAAAAAACTATATGAGGTTATAGTGAAACACCATCTGGCACAATGAAGATCAGTGTTACCCAGGAAAAATACACAGGATGCTCGGAAAGAAAACACTTCATGAACAGTAGTGTGTATTGTTATTTTGGTGTTGATTTCGTATCAATATGATTGAAAAAGAGCTTTTCCCTAGCAGTGTGTTTTGTTGTTGTTTTGAAGAAGTATTCACTGCAAAGTTCAAATTTGTCTGGGTTGACTGACTGCTATTGAAAATGTTTCTGTGGGGGATTGCATTGTCTCTGCATGGAAGACCTAAAGAAAGGTGCATCCTGACAAGTAGAAAATCATGCACAGGTGGTAGGAGGCCTGCGTGGATGAGCAAGGAGCTGCTAACAGAACCCAAACAGGAGGTGTAGAAGAGTTGGAAGCAGGGGCAGATGACCCAAAAGGAGCATAGATTTGCTTTCTGAACTTGCAGGGATAGGGTTAGGAAAGCCATGTCCCCTCTGGAGTTGAATCTGGCAAGGGATGTGAAGGGCAAGAAGAAAGGATTCTGCCACTGTATAACATCAAAAGGAAAACTAGAGAAAAAAGGTGTGCCCTCCCCACTGAATGGGGCAGGGAAACTTGTGACAAATGATGTGGAGGAGGCTGAGATACTTGTTGCCTTCCTTGTCTCAGATTTTGTTGGTAAGACTGGCCTTAAGGAACCCCATACCCCCAAGACCAGAGGGGAAGTCTGGAACAAGGTAGACTTAACCTTGGTGGAAGAGGCCAGGTTAGGGAGCATGGAAACAAACTGGAGGTACTTAAGACTAGGGGGCCTGACAGGTTGCACCCATGAGTTCTGAGGGAGCTGGTTTGTGTCATTGTATCGAATGGTCATGACAGTTGGGAGAGGTTCCTGCAGACTGAAAGAGCAAATTTCATTCCTATCCTCAAGAAGAGCTGAGGAGCTACAGGCCAGTCAGCTGCACTTCAGTCCCTGAGAAGTTGACGCAGAAAATCATGCTGCAAAGCACTTCCAAATATATGAAGGACACAAGGATGATTGGGAGTAATGAGCATAGATTTATAGAGGGGAAATCATGCTTGACTAACTTCATGGCCTTCTACAATGAGGAGACAGGCTTACTGGATGAGGGGAGAGCAGTCCATGTTGTTTACTTTGAAATTGTAAAGCTTATTACACCATCTCCCATAACATCATCATAGACAAAGTATGGGTTAGACAAGTGGATAGTGAGATGCACTAAGAACTGGCATGATGCTTGGGCCCAGAGGATTATGATCAGCAGCACAAAATCCAATTGGAGGCAAGTCACGGTCTATCGCTGGGCTCAGCGCTGCTCAACTTCTTCATTAATGATCTGGATGACAGAATGGAGTGCACCCTCAGCAAGTTTGCAGATGATACAAAAATGGAAGGAGTATCTGATAGACCAGAGGACGTTGCAGCCATTTAGAGGAACCTCAACAGGATGGAGAGCTGGGCAGAAAGGAATCTCATTAAGTTTAACAAGGAGAAACACAAGCCCCTCTGTCAGGGTAGGAGTAACCCCAGGCATCAGTACATGCTGGGGTCTGACCAGCTGTAAAGCAGCACTGCAGAGAAAGACCTTGGGGTCCTGGTGGACACCAAGATGACTTAGGGCCAGCAGTGCACCCTTACAGCAAAGAAGGTCAGCAGCATCCTGGGCTGAACCAGGAGGAGAGTTGCCAGCAGGCCAAGGGAGGTGATCCGTCCTCTCTGCTCAGCACTGGTTAGGCCACATCTGGAGTGCTGTCTCTAATTCTGGGCTCCCCAGTGTCGCTGTCGAGACAGACATGACACATTCATCGAGTTGCAAGCAAAAAGCCAAAGTTCATTGTCTTACAAGCCTTATAGATATTTCCTAAGCATATGTGCTCTTAGTTTATTGGTTCAACCCAAGCCCAACAGTTCATGATGGGATGACCTTTTCCTTCTTGCCACATATGCTGTTTTTCTTGCCAGGTTCCTGCTCTGTGTTTTCATGTTCCGTTAAGTTGTTTACATTTGCTGTCTCAGCCACTTCTTCTTTCTCACGGGTACACGGCTATTTTATCAAGGTCAGTGTCAATTGTCTCCATCTTGGGGTCCCCAGGCCAGCTGTGGACCCCCACAATTCCCACTTTTTGTATTTGTGCTACAAAAATCGCCTGTGCCATCCGCTGCAGGGCCCTTTGCAGCAGAGACACAATACATGGCGACATCAATAGCACAATTGCAACAATAAGCAAAATCATTCATCCTGTTTTTATCAAAGATAGCAACCATCCTGACAGTCCCCATCCTTTAAACAGTCTATTCAACCAGTCCCACCCATCATCGATTTGCAGCTGCTTTACCCCATCTTTCAAAAGCCGTATACTTTTATGTATTGATTCAGAATGATCTGACAAATTCATACAACGCATTCCTTCGAAGTCTTCACATCCATGTCCTTGGGCTAACAACAAAAAATCTATTGCAGCACGGTTTTGTAAAGTCGCATGTCACACAGAATCTACGTCTGAAAGCAAACCACTCAAGGCCATAGAAGTAGCATTTGCTTGCTCAGCCAACAACCCAATTTATTTGTTTTTGTTAAGGCACCTGCAGCAGCAACTCCTGGAGCAAGAAAGGAAGCAGCAATTATCTCCCCTGG